ACCAACCAAGCTGACAACAACCAACCATCACTATGGCTGACCTTAGCTGAGCTAGCGGTCCTTGTGAATATAACAACCTTTTCACAATGCCCACCGTCCAATACTTAATTTACCGCCTGACTGCTCCCAGCATCCCAGCAACATTGCCCCCGAGCCACAGCCCACATGCTCCTGTGACCAATTATTCCTTTACACAAACTGACCATTTTGAGCTGAATATACAGAGGAATATAAACTGTATTTTCCATGGTTTAGACTGGTTTAGAATGATCTATTTTCCATGGTTTAGACTGGTTTAGAATGATGTATGTTCCTTCCAAGTAGAGTAAAAGGGAGTATAATCTAAATGTTAGCTCACATCCGGACACAGACAGGGCACTGGCAAACAGCTGTGCAGGAGTGGGATGGAGGATGGAGGTGAGGTTGTCAGGGACCAGGGGAAAACAAGGAATGTGTACGTCCATTTGGCTGTAGGAGTGTGTTAATTAATTATAGTCAGGGAACTTGTTGTTGTACTACTACTGCTCAGTGGCCTCTGTCATCAGGTCATTTTCTAGTAGGACTGACCGGCGTGCTAATCAGCCCTCTGAGAAACAGAGACACGCTATGATGCATATAGATGGAGCTACTAACAGGCCAGGCAGGAAACTCCCTTCAGCATGGATGATGTTGTCACACTGCCAGTACTGTACTGTAGTATGTTAATCACATCCACTTCCTCCTCAGCATACTGTACATGTATGTCTTTAAGTGTATGTCTTAAGTATGTCATCATCCACAGACGGTAAAGTATGATCTCTGTAGCTATGTGATACAGTATGTTTTGGTTTGTTCTATGACCTTGCTTGACTGTGGTAGGGTAATTAGCTAAGCACCTTGCCCACGGGCATCTTTGAAGGGTTCAGAGGGATGAGTTCGGATTTCTTTGCCATTGACCTGTCTGGCCCATAATTACATTTCACTTTTGTTTAAGCTGGGTAATATGTTTGTCACGGATTCAGCCGAGGCTGCTCCTCCTCCTTGCTCGGGCAGTCTTCGTCGTTCGTCGTCCCCGGAGTACTAGCTGCTGCCGATCGATGTTTCGGTGTTTGTCTTGTTTGGTCTTTATTGTTTACACCTGTTTCCCATTATGTTATATTGTATTCCCTATATTACGCCCTGTCTCTCATTGGTTATTGTGTGTGATTGTTCTTTGTCATTCCGGCAGTTGCTTTGGTGTACGGGTTATTGTGTTTTCCTCCCTGTTTGGAGGTTTGTTGTTTTTGCACTATATTTACTGTGTTCAGTAAAAGTACGTTGCCAGCCACTCTGTGTCCTGCGTTTGACTTCGCTGACCGCATACACGCGTGACAATGTTAGCCAAGAGAACACCAGAACACACAAGGGAAACACAATGTTGTGTGTTTACATGCATGTATGCGTGTGTGCGTGTGTGAGAGAGAGAAAGATGGATAGATAGAAAGAAAGATAGATATAGAGAGAGCTTTCTAGAGTCCACACTGAGGTGTTACTAGAATCTGCTTTATTCATGACTCAAGGGCTTAAAACCCCAAAATAAAAATGACCTATAAATACTAAAACAAAGTAGTGCAGCAATTAGATTAATTACTGTAATACCTTCTCTCTACCATAGCAAGATACACCCCCATTACTAATGTACATGGTAATGACAATTGAACAGAGTGCCTCTTTATTGAAGTTTTCTGCCTAAGCTAGCTTTGCCGTCATTCGTCAGTAAAACAGTGTAAATATTGAACTGTAGATTATACAATGCTCCGACATTGAGTCTACCAAAACATTGTTGATTTGAAAAAGCCACGTTCCTCTCCTCTACTTACCGACAGTAATTCCCCTAGCATCCACATCTCAGCTGGTAGTTAGAAAAAATGCTGCAAACCAGAAATGAGCTGTATAATTTCCTACCTTTTGTGGTGTGATTATTTGAAGTCAACAACACAGTGTCAGAGAGCTGCTCTTTATTCCAGTCTGTTTATATGCAGTTGAAGAATACAGGCTAAGAGTCCTTGATTCCCATCCAAGTCTGAGGCAGTGTGCTTAGTGATAAGGGCCAGATCATACCAGGAACCATGTTGCTCAGGGATGTGGAGCACAGCCATTTTGTTTGAAGTTATGAGGAGAAGTAGAGGAGTCACTAACTAACAGTGAGAAACACACTGAGAGATGTGGCTCTACAGTTGATGCTGCTTCTTGTCACAGATCTGTAGCTAGTTGTTTAGTTGGTATATTTTTCATTTAAAGCAGCGAAAGTAAGTATTTGCAAATGTTTTGTTCATCTGATATGCTGCCTCTAAGGATATGTCTAGACAGAGTCAGTTTTACTTTAGAATTGTGACGGCAAGGTTTAGAAAAGCTCTGTCCAGACCAGTTGTATAGGCAAACAAGATTATTCATGGTAGAATGCATTTAATGTAGTATTTAGACAGCATATTCATGATAAGATATTGACCAGGCTATTGTACAAATATAGTTAGGGCATTAAGGCAGAAGAAAGACATTTAAATATTGATATATTTGTTTGGCTATTTATTTGGCTTGTGTTGTAAAGGAGGTATTTCTCATTGAATTTAAAGCCTCCTTCAAAGGGAAAACACCATGTATAATTAATTCACCAGGAGTGAGTGGTAAGAGCTGATCATAAAGCAGGGATAATGGCTGCCATGAAGCATTGGACTAACCCTGGTCCTCCAAACCCTTCCACGGCCCGCCACCCTTCTACAGGAGAAGAGATAAAATGCTTCACCGCAACATCTCTGCCAATGTTAATTCAATTCTGCCTAGCCTAGTCTGCCATGAGGGTCAAACAGAAGGATAAATCTACCCGCCTTAGAGCCTGGCTGGCTGGTGATTATCACTGGGTTGTTGTTCACACAACCCAAACACCCAACACTAAGTCTTCACAGCCAAGAGTTGGACTATGATGACTGTTGTTGGCTGTGTGTGACACGTACCTCATGTTTAACAATGTCTGTCCCCTGATACAGTCCATCAAACTTTCGACATATCTGTTTTGTAACAGACATGTTTTGTAACAGACTTGCCCCACAGCCAATCAAACGCAGCATGCTATTTGTAAGAATTTGATTGGGTGGGTTTGCCTACACAGATGGAGGATCCACACTGTGATTCCCCCAGTGGCTGGATGTCAGCAATTACTAGCAATTCTGGGCAGAGCAACTACAGACAGGTCACCTCCCCTAACACCCCTGGCTTACAGGCTGGCTGAACATTCAAGGTCTTTGATGTTATTTTACATTGGCATTTATAGCAGACGCTCTTATCCAGAGCGACTTGCAGTTATTCATCTTACGATAGCTAGGTGAGGATCACATATCATAGTCGTAGTAAGTACATTTTTCCTCAATAAATAAGTTATTTTATATGTGTGGTGGCGGGATGTCTAGTCCCGTCTAGCTCAGTTGGTGGAGCATGGCGCTTGCAACGCCAGGGTTGTGGGTTCGATTCCCATGGGGGGACCAGTATGGAAAAAGTATGAAAATGTACGCACTCACTACTGTAAGTCGCTCTGTATAAGAGCATCTACTAAAATGTCTTATTTAAGATACTCTGTGAAGTATCTACTGTATTTCAACAAGATAGAATGTGTTTAAATGGAAGAACAATGAAATCCAGACAGTTTCTGCCTCAAGAGTCTTCAGACAGAGCATTTAGGATGAGCAAGATGGTGGAGAAAGAGGAGAAACTATTAGGCGAGATGTCAGGGACAACACTGTTTACATGGGGTGTGACATGGATGGCATGATGGTACACCATAGCTCCTGTCTGTAGACTGAAGATCTTCCCCACAGAGAAAATCTTAATGTAATGTGGTCTTCCCCACAATGCAATTTACTTCTCCAAACATTCTTTAAAAAAAACACTATAGTGTTTGAATAGAATCCTAACTGACCGTTACTGTAGGGTACTGTATGTGTGTGGGTGAATTTCCCTCTTAAATGTTGCCAAAATGTGTTTTTAATACAACTATGGCTTTTATGACTCACTTCAAAAATGATTTGTTATCCCCTCATGGTCTTCTTTCGCTTAGCTAATTTAGTAGTTGCAGTCTTTCCGCAAGCCATTTGTCTTATGCAACATCAACTTGCATAACGTTGCAAACATACGTTATTCTATCGTCATACTACATTTATAACTAATTCTAGTCACCCTGAATAATATAAAGATGACCCTTTCTGTTGTCAACTTCATTAAATTATTCACATGCAGCAATAGAGACAGACAGGATCTCCGTCAGTGGAGCAGAGGATTGGCGCTTGAGAAATTAGAAATCCTTTTTGTTTGCCCATATCGCAATGGCTTTAATGAAATCAGAGAGAGAAGTCACAGCCCCTCTCTGAATCTGACTCCAGCTCAATCTCTCATCACTTGACACAATGCTGCTCACACTCCGCTGCTGTTTGTCGCAGTTTGACTCCTAGCCCTGATAATAGCTTTGTGACAAAACAACTGTTTTGACCACGCACAGAGCCAGCATCAGAGAATGAAAGCTGTCTTTTGCTGGCTCTGGCACCTAACTTCACACTATTCATACTTCTACACTGTTTTGGCTCATGCATTCATGATACAAAATGCAAAGATAGATACAATGTGCTGCTGAAAGGGAGCCACTGTACTGTAGTATTACATTTACATTTACATCATTTAGCAGACACTCATTACAAATGATGCACCTGAATAGTAACAGCCTTGCTCAATCATCAAGATTGTCCAGAATGTTAAGTACCTGTATGTGGATAAAGGCGAAAGAAACGCACACCTATTTAGGCGAGGTGCTGGCTGACGGCGTAAAACACTTCAAAAAGAAAAGGAAAGCCGCACACTCTAGGAGCTCAGATGCAATAATTTAATATCTTAATAACCAACGTTTCGACAGACAAGCTGTCTTCATCAGGGTATAATGAAATACCTGTATGTGGCCTTCATGACTCAGTGTTAACAGCCCTCTTTCTCTATTCATAGGAACTGTGTTTGGCCTAGCCGTCTAGGATGAAGTGGAACCTGTTCAAGAAAAAGCCTGAAGCCATGGTCGGACCTGAGCCCACCGGGGCTGCTGTCTTAACTGTGGCCCCTGGCCCCGTGGCCTCCACCGCAGCTGACAATTCCACAGAGGCTGTCAAGAACGGCGACTTCGATGACATCAAGAATAAGTTCCTCAATGAGATCGACAAGATCCCACGTGAGTGCCTGTCTGGTGAGGGTCTGGACGTTGCACAGCAACTAACACCCAGACCTGTCCAGATGAGATTGCATGACTTTTATTGATAATACTCTAAAAACAATGGCTTTGGAATTAGATCTGTTCTCCCCCTGAAGCCATTGACATCCCCATTATGCCATTATTCTGAATCGATCAGGTGATGTTGTTCCTAATGGAATCTAATTCCATGGAATCTAATTTGCACCAAATCTAATTGTTAGCTAAGCTAGCGCCTCTATACAATGACTTTGGCCTTTCATATCAATCAGCAGGGGGAAATCATTGGTTGGTCAACTGTCAAACCATTCTATTTTTATGTTATGTGTTTCTTTGCGTATGTGTTTGTGTGTGTGTGTTTGCGTTTGGGTGTGTATCTCAGTGCCCTCATGGGCCATCATCGCCATCGCTGTGGTAGCTGCTACCCTGATTCTCACCTGCTGCTTCTGCATCGTTAAGAAGTGCTGTTGCAAGAAGAAGAAGAACAAGGGCAAGAAAGGGAAGGGTGAAATGGGCATGAAGAACATGAAAGGAGGAGAGGTATGTTGAACCCTGGGGGAGCGGGGTATTGTCATGAAGGAGGACCCTGTCATGAATTTCACACAAGCTAACTTAGGCCTACATTGCCTTAAAGCTATAACTACAAGAGAGCTGCTAAGCTTTAAAGATTGTGGATGCTTAACCTGAGGAATATTTACCAAATAATACATCCCCAGAAAAACTATTTTGTTGTGAATGTAATTTGGTCTGGACCAAATCGTAAAAGGAATATTTTTTTCTAATTGAATAAATGGATAATTCCGACTTGAAAATAATAATTGTATAGTTATAAAAACATAAGAAATAAGATGTCAACAAACACCCAACAAAAAGTTGCTCTTTCAGTAGAATATTTGTCAAAAGCAGCATAGAGGACCTATTGTCCCCTAATTGATAACCACATCACTGAAAATAGAGCCATGTCTAGACATTTAGAATTCATAGCAATTTAAATATTTTGTAGATAATTTAGCCCATCATTGAACTGTCAAAATCTCTAGAAAACAATCTCACTTCCTTCTTCATTTCTTGTTGTTAAATATTGTGTATTTGTCAGAAATGTTTAGTCCTGCTTTCTCTTGTGCATTGGGACCTGGGTGAAAAATGACACAGCTGAGCTCTTTTGTATGGGGGAATTATACTATTGTTGATGGAATATAAAGCTTACCAATTACATGTAGCACAAAACTGCCACTGCAAAATTCTAATTCTAAACAGTCCATAGTGGTAATGTGGGGCTAAATGTTCTAGTCTAGTGCACCGTAGATCATTTTATGAAGTACATTATGAGTAATTTAATATTCAACAACAGCAACATCCAAGAACTGATGGAGTTCATTAAAACACAGTGCCCCTGTAGAGCTTGGAGGGGAGTATGATTATGTTAATGACTACAGTTACTGTCTCAGTGGGGTTCTAGCACTGTGTCATTTTCCCTCGGTTCTATCGTGTAGTCGTTGATTCTGCCTCTGCTCTAATTTCCCTCTCTGGTGTCTGCTGTGAGTTCAATCTCTTCCTTTCTCTCTGCTCTCCTCCTCCTCCTTCCTGCTTTGTGTCTTATGTGTGCTCCGTGTATCTTGACTGTGGTGGACTTCTCTGCCTACGGTAGGTCTGACGGCACGCGGCGCCCCTCTCTGGCCGCTCTGTGTAAGCGCAGACCAGGGCAGAGGGAAAGGTGGGGGTGGGCTGGGCTTGTGGAAGGGGATTGGCGATGATGACAATGGATGCTATGGCTTTCTAAGTCTTGCAAGCTTAGGTGCTGCGGGTGCTTGAGGGTGTAGCTATGGGAGCGATTAAGCTGCTTCGCAAGTCCACTGATTTGATATGCTGCCTCACCGACTACCATGATGATGTCTTGAGTATCCATGGAGAGGTTGCAATTTGGGAATTTTTTTTAAAAAAACTATACGACCTCTGAAGTGGAAATATTTGAAACGGTTTTGAAATGAACGTGAAACTCATCCTATGGTTGATGAATGATGATGAGTGCACTGAGGCAACCCAGTAGAGATCACTAACATGCATGTGCAAAGGGTGAGGTTGGCTATTTGTCAAATAATGGGTGAAACTTTACCTCATTGAGATCTTTGAACATGTTTCCACAATCGTGTTAACTAATCAAGCACATTATTGTGCATAGTAATTATCACTACAAGTCACTTACAGTAACTATAATACAAGTATTTTCCATGCTCTGCTTTGAGTGTGAAATTCATGTCATTTCTACATCCTAAATTCAGCTGTGCAAACATGCTCAGAGATCAAGGTGAGATAAAGAGGTTTGTATCTCTTGACAAAGATCAACACAAGCCCTTTCAGTAGGTACCATTGAATGGCCACAACTTGACTTGAGAGTAACTATCCTGGATGACCCATGATGCTGCTGACCAATTAGGTTTTAGTCAACGTTTCCCTTCCTCCCTGGAGCAGTGGTGTTAGTGGAAAAGAATGGTGGGCCAGAAAGTTTGATCAATGGTTAAAATGTGAGCCACATTTGACTTCTCTTTAGACAGCATGATTAAAATGTAAACCCCAGAGGTAAGTACACCAATTGACCGCATAGATTTGGATTTCATAATTCCATGAATGAGCTCACAAACGAAAGTCCTGACAATGGGGGCATACTTTCGGACATACCATTCGGTAATCCTTGAATCCCACTGCATGTTTGGTATGATTTAGACTGGAACTCTCCAAAATAGCATGACTTCACATGGCTGTGAAATTTTCACGTACACAGTTTTTCAGGATTGCAAAGCATGCAATCTTGACTACCAAGATTATTACTGACATTGATACATTACTTACATGTATATCATAAGACTATAAGAGACTGAAAACAACTGAGTCATTTCATCTACATTTTGCTCTCTATAAAGACTACTATATTCTCCTGCATTGTGTGGCCTGGCATGCTCGAATGCAAAGCATTTACCACAACAAATTTACAGAATGCCACTATAAGGAGATGGAGTGTGTGTGTGTGTGTGTGTGTGCGTGCGTGCGCGTGTGTTTGAATAGTAGGTGAGTTTTTATACGAGCGCTTTTGTGAGTGAGTGTGTGTGGGCTTGTGTGCTTACGTATGCTTGTTGCTGGTTAAAAGTATGCTCAGTTAATGTGAGGTATATACAGTATGTAAGGCTGTGTATGCAAGGGTGAATATAGTATGTAGAATACAGTGTCTGTGTGAATGTGTTAGTAATTGGGTGGGTGTTTGTGTCTGTGAATGTGTGTTGTGTATGGATGGGTGTCTGTGTTTTAGAATACAACGTAGAATGAGCTGCAGACTGCCCCGGTTCCTCTTCCAGGGTAAGCTCTGCGGTGAATAGCATGGCCCTACTAATTTACATATTGTGCAGTTTGTGTGTCATGGACAATATTTAAAAATGAATATTCAAACAAATCCCTTAAAAGAGTCAGTAATTCTACCATGGTGTCATGGTTAGCTATTTTATTAATTGTATGATCATATGAACTGACAATGGGATTTGTAAATGTTCCCAATAACTATAGATACTGTACAATACATCTGTAACAAGTATTGTGTATTAGCAGAAGTTATTAGCTCATATCTGCTGTAGATAAGTGTTGCTTTTTCAGTAATTACGATGATTATGTCAGTGGAGGTGTACTCACTGAAGGACATTTTGTGGTATATTTGACTCTTATCACTCTATTGTTAGAGTGTTGTAATGGGCTAGATTTTCAACGTTTCAGAAGCAAGAGTAGTTACAGGGATCACTATCTCAGATCTGATCCAATCTATAGTACATGTATGCCTAAAGGATGCTTTTATCTGATCTATAGGGTGCCCAGCATTTGTCCTGCCTGGGGCTACCCCTGTAGCAAACTGACTATATATTGACTGTTTTACTTCACATGTTCTTATTTTTACATTCAGTATATCCCTCTATTTCTCTCTCTGTCAATGACTATACAGTAAATAATGAATGATGAACATAGAGTGCAAAAGCAAATGGTGTCACCCAAGGAATAGTGAAATCAAGTCATGTTGCAACTAAGGTCATCGATAAAAAGATGTGCACACTGCACTGGTAACATCTGGGTAAGCAAGCAGGGGGTAAGTGGCAGGTAGATGGCTGCTGTGACTAACCAGACTACTGAAGAATAACCTATAGATGTTTTTTACTCTCTCTGTTCAAATGTCTGATGCCCCCTCTGCCCCCTCCTGCCCCCTTGTCATTTCAGAAACAGGACGATGATGATTATGATGAAGATGATGCTGAGACTGGTATGACTGGAGACGAGAAAGAGGAAGAGGTGAAGGAGAAAGAAAAGCTCGGGAAGCTTCAGTACTCCATAGATTACGACTTCCAGGACAACAAGGTGGGTGTTTTGACTTGAGCAGATGGCTTTCTTACGACCCAGGAGCTTAAATATACTATTTTACTGTGTTGGGAAAAAGTAAAAAAAATAAGCTTTAGTGTGCAAACTGCCTTTAGTCCAGTTAGTTTTCCACATCACTGCTTTCAAAGCAATGGATTTTTGCCATTTGCCGAGTGTTTTTTAGCCTCCAAAAAATGCAGCTTTGAGTGAATATGTCTTGGTTGGGCAAAAGCCAAGGACAGCTGTAAATGTGAACTTGCTGACACTAAAGGATTGATTCAACCCATCATTCTACAGTTATGCTTTCAAGATCAAATCAGTCAAACTTTTACCAAGACTCCATTCCTTGTTTGTGTTATATAAGCAACGTATGAATGGATTTCCTTGACCTGATACGCAGCATTTGCTCCATCCTCGTACTCTTCTGTGGAGAATCTTCTTTGTTCACTGAGACCTTGAGGACCTCACAACAGACCAAAGCATCGTTATCATGTTCATCGTAATGTGTTATACAAGCATAAAGCAAAGGCTTTCTTTGATCTGTTCAAATAAATATCTGTTCCGATAACAGTACTGGAACTGTGAACTGTGAAAGGACACTGTCTGGGTACATAGTGCATTGAGGCAGATTGACTGATCTCTTTGACCCTTGACCTCTGACCCCTAGCTCACAGTGGGCCTCCTCCAAGCAGCTGATCTCCTCTCCATGGACAGCGGTGGCACCTCTGACCCCTATGTCAAGGTCTACGTCCTCCCAGACAAGAAGAAGCATTTTACCACCAAGGTGCACAAGAAGACGCTGAACCCTACCTTCAATGAGACCTTCATCTTCAAGGTAGGCTACTGTACTTTGATCTCTCTCTCTCTCTCTCTCTCTCTCTCTCTCTCTCTCTCTCTCTCTCTCTCTCTCTCTCTCTCTCTCTCTCACTCTCGCTCTCTCTCTCTCTTTCTTCTATACCGTATATCAGAATTATAAAGATAAATCTAATAGACCTAAGCTGTGGTAGATGACCAGACCATAACTCCTGCCATATAGCCAGTTACCCAAAGTCTGATGCATCAGCTATGCTCTCTCTCTCATCCGATTAATCTGCTGGACTGATGTTTCAGATAACACCTCATAATGGATATTCCCCAATCCACTGCAGACTCCCGGCATCTGATACCAGCTAGCCTCCACAAGCAAATTGCCTTGGAGGATAATAGAGTCAGCGCCTTGCATTTATAGATGCTCAGATGCATTTACACACATATATCTATCCTTTATAAGATTAGTTCTCCTTTAAAACAATCTCCATTCATCCCTCGTATTTGTTTAATTAAATGTTAGACATGTACTGTTTATCATTAAGCTAGAAATAAATCCCTATCGTATAAAGCTATCGTATAAATTCCATATATCTGGTAATATCTGAAGTTCAAAGAAATTATTAGATGATTTATGAACTATGAATTACAAGCTATTCTTCAGGTATTGTGTAACTACTGTCTTATGTGTACGGTATATATACAGTGGGGGAAAAAAGTATTTAGTCAGCTACCAATTGTGCAAGTTCTCCCACTTAAAAAGATGAGAGAGGCCTGTAATTTTCATCATAGGTACACGTCAACTATGACAGACAAAATGAGAAACCAGAAAATCACATTGTAGGATTTTTAATGAATTTATTTGCAAATTATGGTGGAAAATAAGTATTTGGTCAATAACAAAAGTTTCTCAATACTTTGTTATATACCCTTTGTTGGCAATGACACAGGTCAAACGTTTTCTGTAAGTCTTCACAAGGTTTTCACACACTGTTGCTGGTATTTTGGCCCATTCCTCCATGCAGATCTCCTGTAGAGCAGTGATGTTTTGGGGCTGTCGCTGGGCAACACAGACTTTCAACTCCCTCCAAAGATTTTCTATGGGGTTGAGATCTGGAGACTGGCTAGGCCACTCCAGGACCTTGAAATGCTTCTTACGAAGCCACTCCTTCGTTGCCCGGGCGGTGTGTTTGGGATCATTGTCATGCTGAAAGACCCAGCCACGTTTCATCTTCAATGCCCTTGCTGATGAAAGGAGGTTTTCACTCAAAATCTCACGATACATGGCCCCATTCATTCTTTCCTTTACACGGATCAGTCGTCCTGGTCCCTTTGCAGAAAAACAGCCCCAAAGCATGATGTTTCCAACCCCATGCTTCACAGTAGGTATGGTGTTCTTTGGATGCAACTCAGCATTCTTTGTCCTCCAAACACGACGAGTTGAGTTTTTACCAAAAAAGTTATATTTTGGTTTCATCTGACCATATGACATTCTCCCAATCCTCTTTTGGATCATCCAAATGCACTCTAGCAAACTTCAGACGGGCCTGGACATGTACTGGCTTAAGCAGGGGGACACGTCTTGCACTGCAGGATTTGAGTCCCTGGCGGCGTAGTGTGTTACTGATGGTAGGCTTTGTTACTTTAGTCCCAGCTCTCTGCAGGTCATTCACTAGGTCCCCCCGTGTGGTTCTGGGATTTTTGCTCACCATTCTTGTGATCATTTTGACCCCACGGGGTGAGATCTTGCGTGGAGCCCCAGATCGAGGGAGATTATCAGTGGTCTTGTATGTCTTCCATTTCCTAATAATTGCTCCCACAGTTGATTTCTTCAAACCAAGCTGCTTACCTATTGCAGATTCAGTCTTCCCAGCCTGGTGCAGGTCTACAATTTTGTTTCTGGTGTCCTTTGACAGCTCTTTGGTCTTGGCCATAGTGAAGTTTGGAGTGTGACTGTTTGAGGTTGTGGACATGTGTCTTTTATACTGATAACAAGTTCAAACAGGTGCCATTAATACAGGTAACGAGTGGAGGACAGAGGAGCCTCTTAAAGAAGAAGTTACAGGTCTGTGAGAGCCAGAAATCTTGCTTGGTTGTAGGTGACCAAATACTTATTTTCCACCATAATTTGCAAATAAATTCATTAAAAATCCTACAATGTGATTTTCTGGAAAAAAATATTCTCAATTTGTCTGTCATAGTTGACATGTACCTATAATGAAAATTACAGGCCTCTCTCATCTTTTGAAGTGGGAGAACATGCACAATTGGTGGCTGACTAAATACTTTTTTCCCCCACTGTATGACTATAATTTCAGCAACCATGAATACCCTCAAGCGTCCCAATGTCAGAATCTAATTAAAGCTACAGTCTGTGTGTGTGTGTGTGTGTGCGCGCACATCTGTGCGCATATGAAGGAGATCAGATGTATAGACTATTCATTAAACTAGATTCTGGCTGGAGAATGTGATTGGAAATCAGAGCTTGGCCAGTGATAAAGCAGAACTTTTGAAGCCTATGAGCTGAGCTGATCTGAGCAGGGGATAGGATGGGATGGCAATCCAGTTAAAGGAGAACGCCACCTCCCTTCCTTCCGTCTGACTGCTGACAGGGCTGTACTGTTCGGTTCTGCTGAGTGTGCAGCGCACAACTTAGGCTGGCTCTGGCCCTCTGTTCCTGTTCTCCCACTAATCATCCCCACACGCCCATCATTTCTCTGGGGGCAGAGAGAGCATTAGCTCCCATTTGTATTTGTATTTATTATGGATCCCCATTAGCTGCTGCCAAGGCAGAAGCTACTCTTCCTGGGGTCCAGCAAAATTAAGTCAGTTATACATTTTAAAAAACATTACAATACATTCATAACAGATTTCACAACACACTAAGTGTGTGCCCTTAGGCCCCTACTCCACTACCACATATCTACAACACAAAATCCATGTGTACGTGTGTTTATAGAGCGTATGTTATCATGTGTGTGTATGCATGTGTCTGTGCCTATGTTTGTGTTGCTTCACAGTCCCCGCTGTTCCATAAAGTATATTTTTATCTTTTTTTTTTTTTATCTGATTCTACTGCTTGCATCAGTTACCTGATGTGGAATAGAGTTCCATGTAGTCATGGCTCTATGTAGTACTGTGCGCCTCCCATAGTCTGTTCTGGACTTGGGGACTGTAAAGAGACCTCTGGTGGCATGTCTTGTGGGGTATGCATGGGTGTCTGAGCTGTGTGCCAGTAGTTCAAACAGACAGCTCGGTGCTTTCAACATGTCAACACCTCTCACAAACACAAGCAGTGATGAAGTCAATCTCTCCTCCACTTTGAGCCAGGAGAGATTGACATGCATATTATGAATGTTTGCTCTCTGTGTACATCCAAGGGCCTCTTTGTGGCACCTGACCACACGACTGAACAGTAGTCCAGGTGCGATAAAACTAGAGCCTGTAGGACCTACCTTGTTGATAGTGCTGTTAAGGCAGAGCAGCGCTTTATTATGGACAGACTTCTCCCAATCTTAGCTACTGTTGTATCAATATGTTTTGACCATGACAGTTTACAATCCAGGGTTACTCCAAGCAGGGATATGTTGCCCAGAGATGACCAAAGAGGTCCAAGAAACTCTGCCCTCATTTATACACTTCCAAATTGTGAGATTCTTTGGATGCTACATACAGCTATTTGTGCATGTCTGGCTCTCATCATTCAAGGTCAAGGTATGTAGAAGAGGTTAAAAAAAATGCTATCTAAAATGGCATTAGCAAACCTGTTCTCAAAGACTTGTTAACACTCTCCTCATCTAAGCAAAGGTGTTATTGCTTCAGAGGGTAACATTTATAAAAGATGGTGCTATTAATATTGATGGTGTTGTTGATGTTTTTCAGATTCCATTCCAAGAGATGGGTGGCAAGACTTTGGTCATGCAGGTCTTTGACTTTGACCGCTTCTCTAAGCATGACGTCATCGGAGAGGTGAAACTACCCTTGCACAAACTGGACCTGGCCCAGCCGTTGGAGGAATGGAGGGACCTGGACAGTGCAGAGAAAGAAGAGGTAAATGTGGAGGACCATCTCCCCACTTTTATTCAGTCCTTTGAAATATCATGTTCTGAATGTCAGTTCAGAACGATGTTTATCCTCATTGTGTGAATGGTTCCCTATATGTAGGTGTTTCCTATGGGCAAGGACATGCATACATTGAGGATGAATGTTATTACATTGAACAAGTTTTGTTCTCCTCTTTACCCATCCCACACGCAGCAAGAGAAGCTGGGAGATATCTGCATATCTCTGCGCTATGTGCCCACTGCCGGGAAACTCACCATTTGCATCCTGGAGGCCAAGAACCTCAAGAAGATGGACGTGGGAGGACTGTCAGGTAAAATATGGAAAGATAATCACTGTGAACAAAACAATGGAAACAGATGCACTGTGGAGTTTAAGCCGTCCATATCTCCCATATCCTGGTTCAATGTGTTCCCCTTGGTCAAGGACAAGAAGATTGTACTGTAAGAACCAGTATTCTACCTCTATTCACACAGTACGAAACCCAAATCTGGATTCCCATTAGAGAGCTAATAAAAAAAGAATACAGCTATTTTCAGTGTTTATATGTGCATTATAATGTGATAAACGCTAAATACCAGTAAAACCTTGTGAATCAACCATGTGATTTGTATCTGTATGGAGAGCTGCTGTAGCCTACATTGCAAGCAGCCAATCTCCGGGGCGATTCAGTCTGTGCTCACGTGCTGACTCTGCAGTACCCACCACTGTCCTTTCAGTAGCTCCACTCCCTTCAGCTAAAATGCACTGCAACCATCTGCTGGCGGTTTACTGCATTGCAACCACTGCTGAGTTCCTTTGTATTGTTACTGGAGCCTTGATGGTAATGAAGTATTGTGTTTTTAAGATCGAACTCTGCTGAAACAGTGATACATGGGCAATAAGAATAAATCTATTAAGCTACAAAGAGCCATGTTCTTTTTTTTTTTTTGGTGGGGGTAGATCAGCTTTAATATTTCAGATAGATTGTAACTTCCATCAATGTAATTGTCTGCATCACTTCCAATCCACCATATGTTTTTTTCTCTCGCAAATATATATATATATATATATATATATATATATATATATATATATATATATACATATATATACATACATATATATATATATATATATATATATATATATACACATACATACATACATACATACATACATATACATATACACATACATATATATATAGACACATATATATATACATACATACATATATACATACATCCATACACACACACATATCCTTTTTTAAATTATATTTCCCTTCATTACTTTCCAACCCCACCACCACTTCCCCAATTGGAGTAAACTAGTGAACAACAACGCTTAGGCCTCTACTTCCAGCCCATACATACTATATACATTTTATGGACAAAGTCAAATTCTACAATAATTATATTTTGTTTGTTTTTACACCTGAACTTCCTCCGATCATTTTCATGATGTCCATCTGGTTTGCTTCTATATGCCATATTTTTCTAACTGTGCTCTTTCACAAAAGCCATGTTTGTTAATAATCCCAATAGCGAGTCTGTGACCAGGCTTGTTTTAATACATGGTTGTATGTATCACTCCCTCTGTGTGCAGATCCCTATGTGAAAATCAACTTGATGCAGAACGGCAAGCGTCTGAAGAAGAAGAAGACCACGGTGAAGAAGAACACTCTGAATCCATACTACAACGAGTCCTTCAGCTTTGAGATCCCTATTGAGCAGATGCAGGTAGAGTGTACAGCTGGGAACAAAGCACCCACAGACAGACAGAACGACAGACACACACACACACGGTTTAGGGAAACTCCCTCTGAACCCTTCAAAGATGCCCGTGGGCAAGGTGCTTAGCTAATTACCCTACCACAGTCAAGCAAGGTCATAGAACAAACCAAAACATACTGTATCACATAGCTACAGAGATCATACTTTACCGTCTGTGGATGATGACATACTTAAGACATACACCTGAGGAGGAAGTGGATGTGATTAACATACTACAGTACAGTACTGGCAGTGTGACAACATCATCCATGCTGAAGGGAGTTTCCTGCCTGGCCTGTTAGTAGCTCCATCTATATGCATCATAGCGTGTCTCTGTTTCTCAGAGGGCTGATTAGCACACCATGCTAAAACCAGAATTAAATCACACCCCCTTGTGTATCATTGCTTTAATACCCCGTGGAATTAGATGATACACCCTAAATGACAGTAATGCAAGAGTGTACAGCTGGGTGGGAACAAAGTGCCCAAAGACATACTACACCATGGAATTAGATGATGCAATTGTATTCTGTAAGTTCATTCTAAATGTCAATAATGTAACACTTTATTTTTCTAATTCCTAGAAAATCCAAGCTGTGGTCACAGTGCTGGATTATGACAAGATCGGTAAAAATGATGCCATCGGGAAGATCTGGGTGGGCAGCAAGGCGACGGGCACCCAGCTGAAGCACTGGTCTGACATGCTGGCCAACCCTCGCCGCCCCATCGCTCAGTGGCATCCACTGCAGCCCGAGGAGGAGATTGACGCTTCGCTGGCAGCCCTGAATGCCAAGAAGTAAACCTCCTTTACCCACAAACACCCACACCCAAACCTACCCATCCTCCTCACCCCTGGTCCTACACATCTCCCAATACTACATTCCAAACCAACACACCAACCAATTCTACACCCTTCACCACAAAATATATTTACTTATATCCTAATTGACATGATGAAAAAAGTATAGAAAAGAAAAACATTATATTCCCCCTCAGATGTGCCATTCCACAAGGAGACAGTGAGATGTTACAAGACAGATTACTCATTTGATTTAATTTTAAACATATATTTGTATTGGGGTTGCAGTTAGTAACATTTTATCATGAAGATAGGAGCCTAGCGTGTGAAAACAGGAGTCCAATGTGATGGAGGATTAGGAAAGTAAAACCATGTATTCACACATTCTGTACCTTTTCACCCCCTCCCCTTAGAGACTATGTTTGCTTCAATACTGCTTAATACTTAAAATGCTTTATACTGCCATGTAATAGAGGAAAAACACAAGCAGGTTCATTCCTTAGGTGTATTGTTGCACCATGCTCCACACCTGCCAGTTACTTACTTACTTACTACATACTAGATTATATTAGTTTGAACTACATTCCTAGAGTTGGGTAAAGAGTAGGGATAGACAATATCCAGTTACCCCACACTGTTAACACACTGCCTTTTTGATTATTAGCTCATCTGCTCACCCATATTCTCAGGTACACTGAGAGAAAACTGAAACTTCATGCCTTTCTTTCTAAACGGGTTGTTATTCAAAATGCTCCGCAACATGATTTGAAAACCTCTGTCTGGTGCTGGATTGGTTTCTTGTTCCATGATCTGAGACTAGTCTAAGTTAATCACTGAAATGAAACAGGAGATAGTCTCTCTAGAGTGTCTCTCAAAAACACAGTTTGTGGCTGTCAATCAACAGAGTTGAGATGTGAAACATGTTTAGGATAAAGGGACTATGAGCCACTGTAAGTGTCTAGCATGGCCTCTGCTGGGAAAGCATGCGAGAGAGAGAATATCTATGTGGAAACTCCAAGGACTGAATGGGACCCTGGTAGACACAATGTTGTTTGTCAGGTGTCTATTCTACTGCCTGCAATCTACCATCTTCCCCTCCAATGCCTCTACTATCTACGATCTATCTCCCTGTTCAGTGCTACTGCCATTAGTCATGGACTCACAACAAGGATTTCACTTCTTCAAAGGAATCCCTGTATCCGTCTTACAGTCATAAAGGAGACAAGCCTTCCAAGAAATGAAATAAGCAATTCTCAACTACCAGGGACGCCTTCCAAATAGCTGTGTTGTTTTTTACTTACCCTTTTCTTTTTAACTTCAAACACTTTTATTCCTCAAGCACTTTAAAATGTTCTGTTCTTATTATTCTACTCTGAAAACCAGAGTTTAACTATTTATTTTATGATGAATAATTCCTGGTTTAAAAAATAAGAGCAAGAGAGGGAATTTGAGTGAATCATTATTTTTGTTGTTTTGTTTGATCATTTGTAACTTTGCCTGTCTTGTGAATATACTTTGATTGTTCTGAGAACATTTTTCTTAAATTTGATTGAAAGGATAAGGTCTGGAAGGAGGTACTGTTATGTGTATGTTATACACAGATTACCAAACTGCTGAATCCACTTGCACTATACTGGATATCACTCTGTTACGTGGTTATAGACGTTGTTCTTCGATCTATGTCGTTTTTGTGATGAGATGTCGTGAGTTTGAGTTGGTTGTGGCATGTACAGCCACACAAGTCAGATCTCATATTAGAAAGTCTTCTGATTGGGAAAGAGACACATTTCAATCAAATGCTGCTCCTCAGATCCTTCACTGAATGAGTGATTTTTACATTTGGACTTTCTCTTGAGATACATTTGATTATAAAACTGGTCATATGACTGAATGAAATTTACAATTTGCTTACCCTCTTAAACATGTAAAAGTTAGCAAAATATAATTAGACAATAGAGCCACACTGGTAATTTGATGGAACATGAACTGTCCCTGTGCACCATCTTGTTCAAAACAACAAAATGGTACTAAGCAAAGCAATTATGTATTTTAATGATGATGAAAAACGACTTGATTGTGTTAAATAACAAGCAAAGGAATTTAATGTTTTAACAGTTTGAGAACATTTTATACTGTAAGTCTTTGGGAATTACAGTAGTGATTGTTGGTTCATTTATTACTTTTCTCTATTGGATGACCATATCTTTATTTATATGTCCAGTAGGGGTCAGATTAGTTATGTTTTACATTTAGTTTCTTCTGTATGTTCAAAAAGCAACACTAAAGAAAAGACAACATGCAAGCAATCAAACAACCCATCGGTGTGTAGTTTTGCTTATATACATAGTTCGTACATGTTGATTCTGCATGTTTCTACAAAATACTGTACATAAGAGCATGTTTTAGAGATAAAGCAATTATATCTTGTGTACGTATGTGGGTGTCATTTGTCATTTTAATACTGTAACACAATGGAGGAAAAAAGATGCACAGTATATTTTCTAAATGAAACAAATGTGTATTATTTTCCATGAATGGGTTATTGGAGAGAATGTCATAATATATTAGAAAGACGATCCTGTCCACGCCTGAACTTTTAAGCAAGTGTGTTGTCAAGTACTGTGTGTGAGTTCATGTAGGATGAAAACGTAGCAGCATGCTTGCTATCTAACTCCTTGTGATACTTTTAATTTGGATTAATCATAATTTATTTAAAATTGATTGATTTATGTATGTATTTATTTATTCATACAATGTTTTATTTTGTGATTATTTAAGCATATTCTTGTCTTGATGACAAATATCAAACATTTAGGGGGCTCACAGTTCAAGAATTACATCTATTCCAAAGTGGAACTCTCCAATTATAAGTGCCAATGCTGAAATGAGACAGAACTGAATCCACACACCTCCACACTGTGGACAAAAAGCCCCCTACTGTACATTCTTTTGCTTTTTTTTTTTATATTTCTTTCCTTTACATTGGTTTAATGACCTGACACCCTTTGCAATTATGGATATTTTACAGTGTTTATTAAACAAATATGTGTATGTGTATACAGATAGTTGAATTAGATAAAAACTAAAGCCATAAGACATAAGCACTAACTCTTTAGAGCTCTGCTGTGTAACTAGAGTTATTGATGTGTCAAAAAAACACTTCTCTATATTCCTAGGTCAGTGTTTCTCTTCTTCATTCTGTTCCGAACTCTGCACTCATCTAGATTCTAGAAGGCAAAACACTGAGCACTGAGAGCAGTTGTGAATTTAGTAGAGGGGATGTGATTTTGTTTTCTACTATGAAGTTGTTGAAGTTGTCTTTATTTTATAAATGTAGTAGCAGATTTTTTCCTGTGATGTAATTTGTATATGCCTTGTTTTGATAGTATGAATCATGGGTCATGGTCTTCTTATATCAAAAGATGTCATCAAAAATACTCAAAGAAGGCATGCAGAACATTTACATTATCGAACTGTGAGTGTCAGGCTGGCCTTTCGGTGATCCTTGGGCTGAGTGCAATTCATTTAGGACCCTGACTTCGGTGTATGGACCCCTCTATAGGAACTATGCTGTCACGAAATAGCTGTGTTTTCATCTGCAGTGGCTTTACAGACATGACTTATAAATATGAAATAATATTGTGATATGGCATACAATCTAGATCTAACTTGTAACAATGCCAAGCCTCAGCATTATTGTTTGATCAACATATGTTGCATTCATGGTAAACAGTAAAGTTAAGATAAATAATCTACAGCATAATCTTAGCCACTTTGATGGAAACTAGCTGTGTCATGTCGACATGTCCTCTAATGGCAACACTATTTAAATAATAATAGTGTTGTCTGATGTCACATTCAACATGTTTGCAACAATTTCATAGCGGGATCATTGATGTTGCTTCTTCACTCAATGTTACAATCAATCCTGTTGAACTGTGACCGAACCGATGCACATAGAACATGAATCCAGTTGAAGATTTCAGTGTCTTTCTAAAATACTGCCAGTATATCCATCTATATTTACAATTCCATGAAAATCATCATCAGTAATCTGTTTGAATCTATTTCAGAGACAAAATAATTCCACTGATGCGGATACAGATTAGATGATAAGATAACTTTCATTAAAGGTTAATATACAGCACATTTTTCTCAAAAAGATTGTTTAAACGCGTTTTACACTGCCACGGTCATTGCAATCAAGACCACCAGCTGGACAGTTACAGTGCCTTGCAAAAGTATTCACCCCCCTTGGCGTTTTTCCTATTTTGTTGGATTACAACCTGTAATTTAAATTGATTTTTATGTAATGGACATACACAAAATAGTCCAAATTGGTGAAGTGAAATGAAAAGCAAAAGTGGTGCGTGCATATGTATGAAGCCCCTAAACAAGATCTGGTGCAACCAATTACCTTCAGAAGTCACATAATTAGTTAAATAAGTCCACCTGTGTGCAATCTAAGTGTCACATGATCTGTCACATGATCTCAGTTTATATACACCTGTTCTGAAAGGCCCCAGAGTCTGCAACACCACTAATCAAGGAGCACCACCAAGCAAGCGGCACCATGAAGACCAAGGAGGTCTCCAAACAGGTCAGGGTTATAAGAAAATATCAGAAACTTTGAACATCCAATGGAGCACCATTAAATCCATTATAAAAATGGAAAGAATATGGCACCACAACAAACCTGCCAAGAGAGGGCCGCCCACCAAAACTCACGGACCAGGCAAGGAGGGCATTAATCAGAGAGGCAACAAAGAGACCAAAGATAACCCTAAAGGAGCTGCAAAGCTCCACAGCGGAGAATGGAGTATCTGTCCATAGGACCACTTTAAGCCATACACTCCACAGAGCTGAGCTTTATGGAAGAGTGGCCAGAAAAAATCCATTGCTTAAAGAAAAAAATAAGCAAACACATTTGGTGTTCGCCAAAAGGCATGTGGGAGACTCCCCAAACATATGGAAGAAGGTACTCTGGTCAGATGAGACTAAAATTGAGCTTTTTGGCCATCAAGGAAAACGCTATGTCTGGCGCAAACCCAACACCTCTCATCACCCCGAGAACACCATCCCCACAGTGAAGCCTGGTGGTGGCAGCATCATGCTGTGGGGATGTTTTTCATCGGCAGGGACTGGGCAACTGGTCAGAATTGAAGGAATGATGGATGCCGCTAAATACAGTGAAATTATTGAGGGAAACCTGTTTCAGCCGTCCAGAGATTTGAGACTGGGACGGAGGTTCACCTTCCAGCAGGACAATGACCCTAAGCATACTGCTAAAGCAACACTTGAGTGGTTTAAGGGGAAACATTTAAATGTCTTGGAATGGCCTAGTCAAAGCCCAGTCCTCAATCCAATTGAGAATCTATGGTATGACTTAAAGATTGCTGTACACCAGCGGAACCCATCCAACTTGAAGGAGCTGGAGCAGTTTTGCCTTGAAGAATGGGCAAAGATCCCAGTGGCTAGATGTGCCAAGCTTATAGAGACATACCCCAAGAGACTTGCAGCTGTAATTGCTGCAAAAGGTGGCTCTACAAAGTATTGACTTTTTTTTTTCTCAAGTTTTCTGTTTTTTTGTCTTCTTTCTTGTTTGTTTCACAATAAAAAAGATTTTGCATCTTCAAAGTGGTAGGCATGTAGTGTAAATCAAATGATACAAACCCCCAAAAAATCCATTTAAATTCCTGGTTGTAAGGCAACAAAATAGGAAAAATGCCAAGGGGGGTGAATACTTTCACAAGCCACTGTAGCTCTATGGGGAAAAGAGACTGAGAACTGTGTGTGTTATAGCAGGGGTTCTCAAACTGTTTGGGGCCGGGGACCCCTTTTGTGAGAGCAAATTCATCAGGGACCCCCTCATAACTTGAGTGAGATAAAGAAAATTGCATACAGGGAGTTTTACTATGACTTCAGCAGTGCATGGCCGGATGAACCAAGTCTCTGGTCAAGGAACATTTTAAAGGCCCACCTCTTGGCAATTTTGCAGGTTTCAAGCTAATATCCTGCAATTTTACACATTTTGCAATGAGGCAGAAAGAAAATGTTGCAGTTTTAAAGTTTGAAGCTAGTCCTTATAATTGAAACAATAACAAAGGCACACCCCGCATCACCCCACCTCTGTTTTGGTAAAAAGCTGAGAGATGGGCCTGGAGAAATGTATCAACTCTCAAATGCATAGACAGAGCTATGGATACAAGGACTGAAGAGCTATGGATACAAGGACTGACCATCCATGAAATCAAAATGATAGTTTTAACAATATTTTGAGGCTATACAGTGTTTGTTCACATTTACATTGTTTACAAACATTGGAGTAAAACAAGCTTATATTTTGGGTTCTGATGGGGTGCGGTACGACAGTTGAACTAATCTCATGAGGCATTTATAAGTTATATTCTTCAAGAATCAATGGGTATATTATGGTATTCCATAACAAAAATTGATGTAGCAACTAAGAATTCTAGCTTTATGAATTATTAAGTAGAAAAATGGATAATTGGTGGAGCATTTTGGATACCAATATCCTTGTGAGACTCCCAGGCCCATGTTGCCCAGGGTTAAGAACAAATTCTAGATTAATAATATTACATTGTATTATATTACACCCTCTAAACTTATGCCACAGATCCCTTTGCCAAAATGCATTTAATCTGAAATATTCATAAAACAAAATGAAATATGATTTGAGATCTGACCATGGACCCCACTTTGAGAACCCCTGTGTTACAGGAACAAAAAGCATAGGCCCTTTATAAAGTCAGCGGTTGCAGTGCAAAAACACAGTACTACTGCAACTTACTATACCTAGACATATATATCTGCATGCCCAGAATACATAAACCATTCTTAATTGTACATTTGTGGTGATGAAAATAATTAACAAACATGTTTTTATTTACAATGGTTAAAAGAGTTTAAAATGATTTCTATTATAGGAATACATATTTTTTGATAGCCTAAATTGATATACTACCTAAATATATATTCTACTTTATGCACAACTGCTTTAGAAACTAACTGTAGGCTATATCTCAGCAGGGGAAGAAACAATGGATTAAGAGCATGATGATTCACACACACTACATACTACACTTATTTTGTACTACTGGCTGCTTTGTTTCTATCAGGCATTTTAAATTAAGTATTCAAGTACATTATAAAAAGGGGTCAATGAGACTTAAAGGGAAACCCTCCAAACTAGAGTCCATCATATTATCCAACTTCCATGTCAGCAATGTGTTAGGGAGTGTCTCAGTGGGCCTAAGTCACTCACCACCTAACGATGTGTTCTCCTGTCTCTGTCTCTGTAGCTCGCTTTGTTTCCTCTTTGTACTGTAATAATCACTATGTTAGTGTTGTGTTTCTATTGTGTTATATTTAGAATGCGAAACTGCAGTAGGGCCAATGGAAGAGACAATTATTGAACTTTTCCACCATGAATTCACTGTTTTGTCTTACCATTAATGTGCTGTTGTTGTGGAACTGGGCTCGCTGAGGTCTTTGGATCCGGAATTATAATGACTGATTTCCAGAGGAACGTCGTCTTTCACGTTTACAACATGGATATATATACTGTACTGCCAAAACGCGCAGAATAGTACCAACCCTCTCGAACTTTTCCTTCACTCCTCATTCTCCATACTAGAATTGTATTCCAAAAGAATGTTTTCCTTTTTTCTCCTCGCTCTTCATCCTCTTTTTAAGCCTCAGAGGACCTTGTGTGTCCTCTGGCTGTATTTCTATGTGTCTTAGTGTTGTGGTGCGCGTGTTCATGTCAGTACTTGTGCCTACTGTGGATCGCATGCTTTAGCCCTTGACTGGACAAAAAAACGTTGCTCAAATACAAACTCCCTACAACCCGTCAGTGGATGAGCATCGGGGATCCTTGTAAAGTTATCGAGGGAACCAAATAACTCAATACAGATCTATCATAAGTGTTACCAGCTCTGTACAAAACAAACAGGAAATAAAGGCCTTTTAATTAGCTTGGATTCATGTGTTGTCTGTGCATCATGACTTTACTTTATTCTTTACAAGGGGATTTCAACTTCAGCATCAGAGGGTTGGATTAAGAGCTGCCCATTTCATTTCGCAAGATATCTGGAATTTAGGGCACATTGGTAGTGAGAACTCACTATGACTTATCATATATTTCACCTCTATAGTTTATTAAGCAAGTGATCAAACCACAGCCGTGTGTACAAGTAGCATGTCCGTATTCCGGTCTCGTACATCTCAATACATACATACATACATGGTAAAGTTGTTTCAACGTAAAATACTGTCTTTAAATATACGTACAGTACATGTGTAGACTGACAGCTGTATTGGTCTTTCAGGAAAGGCACGTAAAGAAGGCCCTTGTGTGTTGTTCCCTGTGCCATCTGCATTACAAATCATGTACAGGTTTCACTTGAAATAAAAAAGATGATGTCCATCTCATAACATGAAGCACTATGTGGACTCCAAACAGTATGGTTTCATAAAATGCTTTAAGAGGATACATATTAATAATATATTGGTAGAAATATAGTTGAGTATAAGTATAAAGATTCTAAACCAAAAACGCATAAATAAATTATTAAAATATTCAACAAATGTGACAAATATGACATCTCAGAGACTATGATAGACCACACTAATGAGCAGCTCAGAGAAAAGGGTCTGTGACGGAAATTGTGACTTCAATTGAACTACAAAGCATAAACATGAATCATAAACAAGTCACAACACCTGACATCAGAAACATTCATGGCAATGTGTAATGTTATTACTGTAATGAAAGATTATTGAAAGTAATTCCTATGAGTGCTTTTTCAGTAGTTTGAGAAAAAGAAAGAAGAATCTTTTGCAGTGCACAATGAAGCACAAAATAAATACATACATACAGTATGTTTGTGATGTACAGGTAAAATATGTGGATGTAATATTGTTTGGATTGCTGGTCTGGAGTTTCGGAGTTTACTATACCCCAGACCAACACTCTCTTTGTGCGGACGCTGTGTGCTCTTCTTCTCACCTTTGACCTCCTGGTATGAAGTGGGCCTAAGAGCATGGAGGTCAAGGGTCAGGGCAGGGGTCATCAGGAGTTGGAAGGTTCCTCACCATGCCTCTGAGAAGCACCATGGTTCAGTGTCAGGGTGGGAGGGTACCAAATGCCAATGATAGTGACACATTGCAAGCTTCAGGGAAGTGTCTGACTTTGGACAGGGGGCATCCACCCTCTTACTTGGACAACTTGCTGATGACACGGATCAGAGCACTGTTCTCGTCCTTCAGTCTCTGGTTGTCTGATTTGAGCTCTGTCAAGACCTACAGGAACAGAGAGAGCAGCATTAGATTGTCATGGTAGCTAGTTCACTACAAGGAACAGTGGTGACGCATACTGTGTACAGAAATACAATATGTGAAAGTGACACTGCCTTGTCTTTTGTCTATGTTCCTTCTGTTGAGGGACATTGACAGACATGATATAAACATTGTTTATCATTTTCAGGAAAATTAAGAATGATATTCAATATTTAATCACCAAGAACTCATTGCTAAATGATTGAACCTTACAATCTCTACAGTCATGACATGCAAAGGATGGACAAAAGACTGGCTTTCAGCCAAATATGATGTAAAGCAATGAGAGCATGCCAATACAGTATGATCGTGCAAAAAGTAGGGACATTATTTGGCGTATGGTTCTATTTGCAAACTGCGAACCGAAAGGGAGAGAGATGCAAGGCGGTCAACTTCCTCAATCTAGGTCATCTCCCACAGCATGAGTAATGATTAAAAATAACCACAATCTTTGTCAAAATCTCCCCCATCCCCCACAGACAGTGCACTGAACAATAACGTTTTTTGCTTGCATGAAAAAGCCAACACAGACGATGATGCACTCATCTCTTCTCTCCTGTCTAGTCCAGTTACCACAATTAAATAGCAGCATATTGTTATGCATTACATTTGACGGTGCATACTGCGAATGCCCCTGGAGAACAAGGACTGTTTGTCCTGTTCTGTCTCTGTCTCAGACATAGCTGTGTGTAGTACACACACACACTAATGTGCACATGTTTTTTGGGCCAGTGGAAAAGGGTTTAGTGAGTTAATGGATGCCAATGAGATTACACATTCCACTCCCACTACCACATGATTGAGACAAACGTAATAGTTTAAAATGTAAAATTCCCTGTCAGCCACTTTACATTGGACACTGGCAAAAAAAGAGGCAAACAATGAACATTTCAGATTTGTGAAATGGAAAATTGCAATCATGTTAATCCCTACAAGGTTCCATTGGTGACCTCGGCACTATGCCATGCAGCAGTCTCTCAAGCAGCGTTCAGACTGTTTCTGGGTTCGTTCAAGCTGATGATTAAGTGACTCGCTTGACTATACTGTAATAATAACCACTGGAGAAATGTCAGGCTGCAACCACTACTGTCCTGGTCTTTACGCCGCCTAGTAATTCACCTATGCAGCATGGATGTAGCTCAAAATAGATTTAAAGGCAGCGGTCACAATATCATTTAGGGGAAGGGGTTTTAGGGGGTTGCCCTTCATTGGTTTTATGGGAGAGTGAGTCAGAGAGAGGTATGCCACATGAGTGAGAGAGGCCAAAGGTGGAGGAGTGAGAGTGGGAGGTGGGCGGAACCTGCCTGAGAAGAGTACAGCAGCAGAGAGGGGAGGGGGAGCTGCAGCAGGAGGAGAACCAGAAGGAGGAAGGCAGTGGAGGAGGTGTGGCTGAGCGAGAGGAGGGATAGAGAGGTGGAGGCTTGGGGGACAGTGGGGTTAGAGGTCCTCTGTCTCAGGCAGGGAGGCCATCTCGGAGAGGCGGGCGAGGACACGCAGCATGGCCCTGTTCTCAGCCAGCAGACGCTCGTTGCCGCTCCGCAGTGCCAGAACAGAGAGGGCCTATACACACAGGAATTCAGAGAGAAGGAGAGATAGAAAGAGAGAGCAGGGGGGCAGGCCAGTGCAAGGGAGGAGGTAGAGATATAAACACACACACGCATTCACGCACAGAGGCAGACGTACACACTGAGGAGCTCCTCAATGACATTCACACACAAAGAGATACTGTAAAAGGAAACAAGAAATAAATCGTCAAAAGAGACATCTATGCAAAAGAAAAGCTAAGCACAGCAGGGAGCTATCATTAGGTTTGCTCTCCACAAACCTGGGCAGTTTTAAAAGGCAGTGGCTGGGGAGGTGCTATATGGATTACATAGCTTGTCAGTCATGCTGGGGTGAGAAGAGGGCAGGGGACTTTCAATATAACATTCAATTTGAGCCATAAGTAAGAGAGCCCAATAAGTTATAGGACAATGGAAATGATTAATTTCCCTGGGTTCCCTGGCAAGACTTTGAGGTAAACATCAGTGTGGATCAGTGGAGAGGTATGTGGTTTGATGCCGTTCCTAAGGAAAACCACAGGCAGGCAAGGAGGTAGCACACACAGAGACAGAGGAAAGTAGAGCCCCATGTGGCTCAGAGAGTGGCCTCAGAGGCTTCTCCCCAGAAACCCAGAGAGGAAAAGAAAGTCAGGTAGAAAGGGAAGAAGTTAAGATGAGCCTGAAGGGAGGAGAGAAGCTGGGGAGAAAGAGAAGAGAGAAGCCGAGTGAGGAGAAGAAGGCTAGGGAGAAAGAGAGAAGGCTAGGGAGAAAGAGATGGAGGAGATCCAGCTGCTAACACCCCAGGGCACTTTGGAGGAAACCATTTGAAGTCTGCCTTTACTCGGACTGAAAATTCCATGGATATGTCAGACTGTTTCTCTGTGCTGTCTCTGTAAGCCTTTCACAACACACTGTTCTGAAGGACCACTATTAAAAAGTGTATCTTGGAGTGGAGAGAGAGAGTAGAGAGAAGAGAGAGGAGGGAGCCAGAGGGGTGAGATTGAGAGAGAATGCATAATTATCCATCATGATGTTTTAATGCTCTTGAACTCTTTGATATCTACCAGAGCTGACTTCACTAAGCCCTGTAGATAAATTCACAAATTTTGCCAGTGCTGGAGTTTCAGAGGCTGACAGAAATAATCCTAGCCCTTCATCCAAAAGAAGAAAGAGCCATAGAGAGTAACCAGAATTTCCACACATTGGACAGACACTGTGGCACAGGGAAAAGTGTAGAAACACACCAGTATATGTGAATAGAGAAAAAGCATCTGTATAATGTTGTATGTGCATATCTCTATCCCAGTGAGCAAAACTTGTTGCAATGACGTCCAAACAACCTAGTTTCTGGTTGTAATGACATTACAGCCAGCCTGCGGGGATATGACTTTACATACGTATCTGGTGTATGTGCTCTAACGTATGCAATGTGTGTGTTTGTTTGTGTGCACAGACATGTGTTCATGCCCAGGTCTCTAAAGAGGTGAGGTGACAGGCAGGTGTCAATCACTCCTCCGTGGCGTACAGACCAGACCACTCACCGTCCCGTCCCCCCTCCCTGGCCCTGAGCCAGCCTGCCTCATGCTCGGGGCTCAGGGCTGGTACCCACAGCGGAAATTTCTCACTGGGGCAGCTTCCTGCTGAGGCAACATGGGGTCATAACATGGGGTCAAACATTCTGTTCCCGTCTTCCGTCTCACATCTCTGTGTCACATGCTGAGTTGTCATCCTAACCTTTGGATATTGCTAGAAGTGGTTCCGACTTACATCAGGTTCACATCTATTCAGTCCTGAATGATATTCTGCTGCTGTTTTGCTCTCCCCCTTGCTCTTTGAAATGCAGAATATGTGTAGCCTACGACAGACAGCAGGCTGTACTGCTGGGTGTGTCACTGTAGCAGCAGCTTGGAGTTTCTCACTCCTTTTCCTGAGCCCTGACCTTGGCAGGGGATACTCAGAATGATACTGGGTAATGAGCCTGAAGCTTTGACCTACTCCCTCAACCTCACCTTCACCTGTTTGCCTATGCTAACCAACCAGGGCCTTGTACTGACCTCCCCCCTTCCTGTTGCAGTGGAGACCTTACCTTTAGCTCCTCCTCCATGTCTGTTACCCTCTTCTCCAGAGCCTGTTTTTCCTGAGGAAGGGAAATGTTAGAACAGGTCGTTCAGGTCAGAATCATAATGGACGTTAAGATAAGAGTAATTTTTTGATTCCCACACATGATAATGAGCCCATAGTGGAATTAACATACAGAGACCAACACACTACAGTAAAATGACATGGACGACATCAGAAAAAAAGAGACTGAGATCAGAAAAAAAGAGGTGAGTGAAAGAAAATGTCGACATCAAGCTGTCAGGATTGAAAGAGAATTGGAGTGGTGAAATCAAGTAGATGAGGCAGATAAAAAAAGAAAAAGAAGCCCTCAAGATTTATAATAAGTGATAGATACCCTTTTTTCTGATTCAAGTACAGTGGACCTTTCAGATATTCTGTCCTGTTTCTGTAAGACAGAGTGGCACTGTTATCACAAAGTGAAAAAAAAGAATGCAGTGGGTTAAAACTGAATTTTAAATACAGTATGTTTGAAAACTTTGTAGGGGATACACTGGTTCGTTCTCTAATCAGCTTGCAGTTGCCTTGAACAATGTATTGCTAAAATGCAATATGCATGTTGTTGAGACGTGTGAACTAGACTGAACTTAATTAAGATGGTCTACAGATGGTTATACAGGACAGTCTCAGTGTTGTGCGCAGTATCGATTTTGGAGAGGGGCTCTATTGTATGACTGATAGTCATCAGCCAATCAGACCCACTCCTAGTATACTGTACCTGGGTGACTTTGTCCAGCTGGGTGCGTATCTTGGTCAGCTCCTGTTTGCTGTCATCCAGCCGGGACTTGAGCTTGTCATTCTCTGCCAAGGCGTCTTCATACATCTGAAAGAGGACAAACCAAAGGGTTAATGCTTATGCCACTTGGAGATACCTTATCATATGATAACATTTGTCCTATGATAGTCCAGCTCTGATAGCTCTACACCAGGTGAATCAACAAGAAGTGGGATTGTATTACATTACTCACTTCTTGCCCCATACACAACTTTCTCCTAAATAGGACATGAATGCCATTGTATGTGGGAGAAATAATATGTACATATGTTTTTTTTTATCAGTTAGTCTCATTGAGATAAAAAAATATATTTTTCAAGAGCAAACTTCTGCATCCCTTCTGGGTTCTACACTAGGCCTACCTTCTTGTAGTCCTCCTGCTTGTTCAGCGCTGCAAGTCTGGTCTCCCTCCGTGTGTAGGAGCTGGTTCTGCCCAGGGGTTCAGCCTTGCTGTCCCCACCACCAGAGTCCGACCTGGGAGGAAGACAGATGCACAGCTCCTTGAGTGGGTGGTTTACAACATCCAGCAACACAGCTGACATTGCAACAGTGACATACATTAAACAAACACTGTTGGAACATTGACATAGAACTATCAATTTGGAGTGCTGTATGTACAGTACCAGTCAAAAGTTTGGACACACCTACTCATTCAAGGGTTTCTCTTTCTTTTTACTATTTTCTACATTGTAGAATAATAGTGAAGACATCAAAACTTTGAAATAACACATATGGAATCATGTAGTAACCAAAAAAGTGTTAAACAAATCAAAATATATTTTATATTTGAGATTCTTCAAAGTAGCCACTCTTTGCCTTGATGACAGCTTTGCACACTCTTGGCATTCTCTCATCCAGCTTCATGAGGAATGCTTTCCAGCAGTCTTGAAGTAGTTCCCACATATGCTGAGCACTTGTTGGCTGCTTTTCCTTCACTCTGCAGTCCAACTCATCCCAAACCATCTCAATTGGGTAGAGGTCAGGTGATTGTGGAGACCAGGTCACATGATGCAGCACTCCATCACTCTTCTTGGTAAAATAGCCCTTACACAGCCTGGAGGTGTGTTTTGGGTCATTGTCCTGTTGAAAAACAAATGATAGTCCCACTAAGCGCAAACCAGATGGGATGGCGTATCGCTGCAGAATGCTGTGGTAGCCAAGCTTGTTAAGTGTGCCTTGAATTCTAAATAAATCACCAACAGTGTCACCAGCAAAGCACCCCCACACCATCACACCTCCTCCTCCATGCTTCACGGTGGGAACCACACATGCGGAGATCATCCGTTCACCTACCCTGCGTCTCACAAAGACACGGCGGTTGGAACCAAAAATATCAAATTTGGACTCATCAGACCAAAGGACAGATTTCCACCAGTCTAATGTCCATTGCTCGTGTTTCTTGGCCCAAGCAAGTCTCTTCTTCTTATTGGTGTCCTTTAGTAGTGGTTTCTTTGCAGCAATTCGACCATGAAAGCCTGATTCACATAGTCTCCTCTGAACAGTTGATGTTGAGATGTGTCTGTTACTTGAACTTTATTTGGGCTGCAATCTGAGGTGCAGTTAACTCTAATGAACGTATCCTCTGCAGCAGAGGTAACTCTGGGTCTTCCTTTCCTGTGGCGGTCCTCATGAGAGCCAGCTTCATCATAGCGCTAAATGGTTTTTGCGACTGCACTTGAAGACATTTTCCGGATTGACTGACCTTCATGCCTTAAAGTAATGATGGATTGTCATTTCTCTTTGCTTATTTGAGCTGTTCTTGCCATAATATGGACTTGGTCTTTTACCAAATAGGGCTATCTTCTGTATACCACCCCTACCTTGTCACAACACAACTGATTGGCGCAAACGCATTAAGAAGGAAAGAAATTCCACAAATTAACTTTTAACAAGGCACACCTGTTAATTGAAATGCATTCCAGGTGACTACCTCATGAAGCTGGTTGAGAGAATGCCAAGAGTGTGCAAAGCTGTCATCACGGTAAAGGGTGGCTACTTTGAAGAATCTCAAATATAAAATATATTTTGATTTGTTTAACACTTTTTTGGTTACTACATGATTCCATATGTGTTATTTCATGGTTTTGATGTCTTCACTATTATTCTACAATGTAGAAAATAGTAAACATAAAGAAAAACCCTTGAGTAGGTGTGTCCAAACTTTTGACTGGTACTGTATATCTCATGAGCTAAAAAACTAAAATAGCAATCAGGTTTAGAAGTACGCAAGAGAAGGAATATCTGAATCTGTACATACCTTGATGCCCTGTCATGCTGAAAATGAACAGAGAAAAAACATGTTAGTGAAGTCAGAAACGTAATAACAAACAGCTTTTACTTTGTGAAATCAATCTGAGACATTTCAATTGTATGACATATCAACCAGAGACTTCAGACAGAGTAAAATATTTTCCATTAGGACACCATGCAAAGAAAAAGAGAACCTTTGTAACATCCAAGCCACATTGTGTTCAGATGGCTTGTGTCCCAAAGGACAGGGCCTACACAAATGATCCAGTAAACCCCATTAATCTTTTCGTGAGTGTTTGCCGCGCAGATGCCTGCAGCGCAGAATTGACATCATGTCGCTAAAATACCCAGTTTACTGGGTGAGAGACTCCAAGTGATGACCTCAGGGTACAGCATGCTGCTGAAATCATACTGGATGTGCCTCAAATAGCACCCTATTCCCTATATAATGCACTGCTTCTGACCAGAGCCCTATCGGGATGTAGGGAATAGGATGCCATTTGAGACACATACTGGCTTGGTGTGATCTAGTCCTGACTATTTGACTGCATGGCTGCCCTGACCTGACCGGAGGTGTTTACTGCCTTTCAGTTGGGTAAATTGTGTATGGATATGAGCCATTTACTTGAATAAAGTGTAAAGTCTAGACTATGTTTGGTCCAACATGTGTATCTTCAGTTTCCATCTGTGCTCTCTGTTCTTAGTGAATCAGGCAGCAAATATGGTTGTCTGCACTCAATAATGACTAGACCTATCAACACTGTGTTTAAATCAAATCTGATTGGTCACGTACACAGTTAGCAGGTGTTATTGTGGGTTTAGTGAAATGCTTATGTTCCTAGTTCAATCAATCAATGCAGTAAATGTCAAACAAGCACACAATATTTTTTTTATACAGCAGTTGATATATAAATAGTATGTAAACATTATTAAACTGACCAGTGTTCATGACTATGTACATAGGGCAGCAGTCCCTAAGGTGCAGGGTAATGTACCCGGTGGTAGCCGGCTAGTGACAGTGACTAAGGGGCAGAGTAGGGTACTGGGTGGAGGGCAGGGTAGTGTTCTGAGAGTCGATAAACATGGTCATGGTGGCTGATCCTGGATCATTGCACATTATGACATGACACGATACAGAGAAAATTGTGTAATTGTGAAAAAGAGAGAGCGATAGAGAGAAAGAAAGAGGGATCAAGAGTGGGAGAGAGAGGAGAGAGATAGTGTGATATCCTTGTGATCTCTGCTCAGATCTCATGTTTTCTTTGCATTCTTTGAGATTTGGAGCTGTTCTCCTGCCTGGGAAAGAGAGCCTTTTAAACACTCACAAAGAGATCAGCTTATTCCCTGGCCACTGGATCTATCCTTTGTGGAAACACTCTGGATGAGACTCTGGTCTGTCAGTGTTGGGGTAGCTACTCTGAAAATATAGTTTACCAAGCTACCAATTAATTCACACTGGAAGAAGTTGAGCTACACTAAAGCTAAAGAGAAATATAGTTTAGAAAGTTAAAGCTACTTTGAAAAAGTAGTTGACTACATCAAAACTAACTGGTGAAAAAGTATCATATCTAAATCTGAAATGTAATTTTCCTGAAGTGCACATGGGATAAGTGCAAACCTTGTTAAATAAGTGCATTGCAGTTCACCATTCAAATACTGCAGATTACTTTTGCATGGATAGCTGCATGGGATGATGCACTGTTGTTTAGTTTATTAGGATCCCCATTGGCTATTGCACATGCAGCAGCTACTCTTCCTGGGGTCCACAGAAAAACAAAATACATTACAGAGTGCAGAACAGTTATAGACAAGAACAAAATAAGACAATACATAAAAAATATTATAGGAGTTATATACTGTCGAGACACCAAGAGACAACAAAAATACTATTTACACACTATTTATATATACATATTGATATTATTTTATACATTACAGTTGATGAGATCTCTAGAAAGATAATACAATATGTTTTTTTAAAGTAAAAGTTTGTTGTGAGTCTATGCAGGACACACCCAAGAGCAGAAGCAGACCTAACTGCCTGGTCTTTATTAGGAGGCTCATACACTAACATCCACATGGATTTTGGAGGGGGAGTAAATTCAAGGCGCACCACGAGAGAGAGTCCTCTCCTCTGTGAATGTTTATACAGCACTGCCAAAGCTGCCTGGCCTTATGTGGTCATGTGTTCGACTCCATCCAGCCTTGTCTCCATCCAGGGACAGAGAGACCCCAGTGACCTCTGATGAAGAAGGGCCAAGGATGAGAGGGCCAGGATGACCGCTCTGATGAACTGTACAGGATAAAACACTAACACTGGGTGGTCTCATGTCTTTGACAATCTATCCACAGTTTCACTGACAGGCAGCTCACTTGAGTCTCACTTGAGGCTACAATTAGTCTCCAAACAGGCATATTTTCTCACTTTTAGTGTGAAACCTTTCTCAGTTGCATACCTCTAAGACCATCAGTTGCATACCCCTGACTTATGAAACCTATCAGCTCATTGTGTAACTGCTGGAATAAGTTTAAAGGTACTTAAGAGTGCTAATTTGTACTGAACTAATAGTAAAGGAATTTGGCCTTTGAGCAACAAGTCCCCATAAATATTCTTACACTGTGAAAAATGGCACTAGTCATTTCCAGGTACCTCTTGGAGCAGGCTTGCAGATAGCGGGGATACCCAAACCAGTACCACAGTTTGGGAACCACTAATCTAGGTCATGCAGAAACATCCATTGTGACATTTCTAAATCTCCTTCCATTTTAGCTCCATTAGCCTTATAGTGAGCGGGCCAGAGGCTCGGGGATCAGACATGTGGGACCTATTTCACAGATTAATGAATTACCAAGATGAATTTCCTTAATGGTTTTTTTCAAAGCTAATCAAAAATTCTTGGCAAGTTAATTTATTTATAATTATTTTACAATGTCTATGGATCCTGAAACATTGTA